ACCAGCCATCATGACAGCAAACTGAGAAGAACATTTCCAGCTGGATATCTCCCAAGTATAAGTGGCTGACTCCTCCATTTAAAATTTTTCTTGCATGATTGACAGTGTTGGGTCAGTGTCACTGTTGTGTATTCCGAATAAAAGGCCAGGAACACAGTAACGAGATCAAGATGGGGGAAGAACTGTTGTTAATCTCAAAGCAGAAAAGCTTGTGTGCAATACTTAATATGGAAAACAGGTCTCGTGACACTAGCTTCTACGTAGAACAGGGAAACCAAAATTAGGAAAAATCTAACAATTTCCTCCCTTTTAAGACTCAATAATACACTAATGAAAAGAAAGAATAAAACAAAATCCAAGAAACAAATTTCAAAGTATCTTAGATAACATGTTGGTACTGTGACCACAGAAAAGAAACAGCACAGTTCCCTCTAGCCGCAAACATAGTCCTTCAACTTAGGAGGTGGTTTAACCAAACGACCGGCACGGGTGGTAATCAATTCAGGTTTGGGATCTAGTTGATGACCTTGTCGTTCTGGAAGGGAAAACTCCTCAATGGGCATCACAGCCAAAGGTGGTACATCCTTCCATTCAGTCTCCGTAGCTACAGGTGGCGTGCCATGTTCGACCTTCTCCGGAACAGCACAATCATCAATCGTTTCCGCGTCAGGTGAGCAAAGGTTGCTATCCTGTAGCTGCTCGACATGACGCTTCCAGGATTGGTCATTTACCTTGACTTTGTACAGGACTGGACCCGTTTGTTCAATGACGGTGCCACGCACCCATTTTGGACCTCTGCGGTAGTTGCGGACCCATACGTTCTGGTTTTGGTCAAAAGACTTCAAAGTGCGGTCATTGGACTGGAAGAACTTCTTGTTGACTTTTCTTGTAACATCCGGCTTAATTAGGTCCAACCTTGTCTTAACATTCCGACCCAGGAGAGGCTGTGCAGGGCTAAGCTCAGTAGTGGCGTGTGGCGCTGATCGATAAGCTAACAGGAACCTATCAAGCTTGTGTTGCAGGGTTCTACTGGACTTGTCAGCCTTAACTCCTTTCTTGAAACTCTGTACTAATCTTTCCGCCTGACCATTGGTTGATGGATGGTAAGGTGTACCAGTGACATGCTTTATACCGTTCGCAGTTGTAAATTTCCTAAAGGTTTCAGATGTGAACTGTGGACCATTGTCTGACACCATCTGGTCTGGGAGTCCCATGTGGGCAAACAGAGAGCACAGCGTGCTAACGGTTTCTTCAGCAGTGGTGATCTCCATCATGAAAATCTCCGGCCACTTGCCGTGGGCATTGATCACTACCATGAGCATCTTTCCCTCGACTGGTCCGGCAAAGTCAATGTGCAGTCTGCCAGGGAAGGGAAGGGTACTCTCATGGATGCAGGGGTGCATGGGCTGGATTATTTGCCAACTCCTGACATCCCTCACAGTTTTGGACGGCCCCTTCTATGTCCTTGTCAATGTTTGGCCACCAAACAAAACCCCGAGACAAACCCTTCATCTTAACCATACCAATGTGACCCTCGTGAAGCGTTTCCAAAACTCTCTCTCTCAGTTTGGCTGGGACGACTACTCTACTACCCCACTACCCCACATTAGAACTCCATGATGAATCGTGATTTTGTTACCGCAATGGGCATAGGGAATGAGCTCTGGGTGAAGTTCGGTTCCTTGCCATCCTGACTGCACAAGCTCCAGAACGCGGGAAAGTACTGGATCCCTATGGGTCTGCATTCTCAAGTCATACTCTGTAACAGGGAGGGCCTCGACAACGGTGGTATGGAATATTTCAACTTCATCGGGCTTGTCAGCGGGTGCTGATGGTTGGGGTAGGCGAGATAAACCATCACAATTGGCATGTTGCTTGGTACCTCGGAACTTGATATTGTATGAAAAAGCTCCTAGGAAGAGGCACCAACGTTGCATCCTTGCTGCTGCCGTGACTGGCACAGCCTTTCCGGGGTCCATTATGTACTTCAAAGGCTGATGGTCGGTGACCAAGGTAAAGTGGCAACCCTCCAGGTACATTTGGAACTTATTCACACCCCAGACCAAAGATAATGCTTCTTTCTCGATTTGTGAGAACTTCTTCCCTGTTTCGGACAGGGACCGAGACGCATAAGTGAAAGGATACTCTACTCCCTCAGCGGTACGGTGTTACAAGACTGCTCCCAGACCATACGAGGAGCTGTCTGTGGCAAGAACTAGTGGTGAGTCAGGGTCATAGCGCATCAGAACCCTATCCTGTAGTAACATTTCTTTCGCCACAAGAAAACTAGCTTGTTCCGCAGCTCCCCACAACCACTTCACATCTTTCTGTAACAGCCGATGAAGTGGAGCAAGATGAGTGGCCAGATCGGGCAAGAATTTGGCGTAATACTGGACCATGTCAAGAAAAGCACGCAGTTAAGTAACATCCTGAGGTTTCGGCATCTCAGTGATAGCCTTTACTTTCTTTGGGGATTGATGCAGTCCTTCTGCAGAGATGACATGTCCTAGGTGCTCCACAAAGCTTCTGAGGAATTTACACCTTTCGCGGTTGGCTTTCAAACCATACTCTTCCAACCTCTTCAATTTTGCGACTAACCGTCAAGGTGTTTCTCTATGGTATGGCCGGTTATAATGATATCATCCAGGTAACAGAAGACCCCTGGTAGTCCTTGCAGGATCTGATCCATGGCTCGCTGCCAGATGGCTGGCACCGAAGCTACACCATAAGGAAGGCGCTGGTACTGGAACAAACCACGGGTTGTGTTAATGGTGAGGAAAGGCCTGGAGTGCTCCTCAACCTCCATTTGTAAGTAAGCCTGACNTCTTCGGAATCATCACCCTCCATGACATTTATTCCAGCCTCAGTCATCTGTGAGGTGGCCTGTCTCTTCCTACATGCTCTCTGTGTATGTCCAATTATGCCACAATGAAAACAGCGTTCTTTCATGAAGGGACACTTTTGTGAGTTATGTGACCCTGAACAGCGGTAACAAGGTTTAGACTTCTTACTGTCCTTACCCCGGGGACCCTCGGCCTTAGGTGGTGGCTTAGATATGGCTTGTTCTTCCCCAGTTTTGACAGTGTCAAGTTTATTGATTGTGGTGCCTGGCCCTTGTTCTCCCTGAAGCACCTGAACATCTTTATTAGCCAGCTCAATGGCCAAACACTTTTGAACCGCAAGATCAAAAGAAAGGTCGGCGAGTTTTACTTTCAACAACTCTGTAATCATCTTCGAGTCGCGGATACCTGAAACTAATCGGTCACGAAGGCGTTCAGTTCGCATGGCCTCTCCAAACTTGCATTCTGTGGCCAAGTGCTTTAGAGTGGCTACATAATGACTAACTGACACACCGGAATTCCTGGCTTGGTTGTCGAACTCATACCTCGCAACCAGCGCTGATCTTTCAGGTTTCAGTTGTTCCCGCATTCGCTCCATGATGATCTCATAGGTAGTGGTGTCATCTTTCAGTTGTGTGGGGGCCACTAAATCCTTCGCCAATTGGTAAGTTTCCACCAGAAGGTTCATCAAAAGTACAGCCTTCATTGTTTTAGTTTCCTTGATTCCATTTGCAAGAAAGTAAAAATCCAGTTGTTCAGTGTAGGACTCCCAATCTGCTCCCACCACAAACTTTGTCACTTTGCCGATGGCTTGACTCGTGTTAGCGCTTGGTGCTTCGTCCGGCATAATTTTTTTTCTGTCGTCTCTGTCCCTTTTTGAACGTGATTTGTGTGACCCACTCCTGTTAACCGCTTCTGCTTGATCAAAGGTATCCCATCCTCGTTGCCAGTTGTTGTGTATTCCGAATAAAAGGCCAGGAACACAGTAACCAGATCAAGATGGCGGAAGAACTGTTTTTAATCTCAAAGCAGAAAAACCTCGTGTACAATACCAAATATGGAAAACAGGTCTCGTGACACTAGCTTCTACATAGAACAGAGAAACCAAAATTAGGAAAAATCTAACAGTCACCATGGTGCCACAACTGTCCATTGGCACCTTTGGATTGTTGGTTTTGCAGATAGGGAGGGTTTGGGTTTAGGTCTTTATATAACTTTTGATAGAAGGAAAAGGCTCTGGGAACGAGGTTGAGATAAAGCCTTAAGATGATGCATAAGTTGCATAATTTTTCATTGCTTTACAAGGGGGACAACGGCCATCTAAGCGTGCTTTGAACTTTTCGATTTTTCTGAGAAAACAATGCACGATAAGACTTTTCGAGATAATTTTCGAAAAATGCTCATTAAAAGGGTCCTTTAGAAAAATAAAATGAATCACGAAATTTTGTAAATGGCCGATTCTCCATAATTATGGTTAGTGGCCCTTTAAGTCTTGACGGAAATGTTTTGAAGTAGAACTCAAAACTGCGCCCAAAGTTTCACAACGATCAAACTGTTTCGGAGAATTCAGATATTAGATGAATAAAGGTACGTTGTAATTGTGAACTGGAAATATCTTACGTTTTAGCTTTCTGAGTTACTTTTCGTGAAGGACTATTACATTACAAACGGTTTTTTTCGGAGCGGTTCGTATCCGGGGCCCAGATGAGGAATTCTGGACCGCTGAAGTTCGTGGAATTAGCCAATCAGATTTGAGTATTTAGGGTTCCGGGCCGCTGAGAAGCTTGAGAAAAAAAGTCAGCGATACTTGGACAGTTGGTTACTTTTCACTGTAAAAAAAGCTGCTTAACCGGTCGGCTACGCGTGCTACGCTTATAACAGATGCGCATGGAATGAAAAAGTTGTATGTTAAATAATTATTAGACGTTTTGGTGTGAAGTATTGCTGTGTAATGTTACTAGTGTGTATTTTGTTCTGCCCTGCCGGCTCGTCAGAAAAAGGCACAACTCGTAAAAATACTCAGCGATACTACACACCAAAACATCCAATAGGTTTATATCTCGATCTAACGCTTGATTGATGACGAATATTTATTTGCAGTTTGAGTGTTAATAAGTAAAACTGCTTCTCACTTCAGATGCACTCTCTTTTTATTTTCAGAGGTGCAGCTGTAACAGTGGAGTGTAACCCCTCTAGTATTTCCAAAGTCACCCGTCGGCGCAATATGCCCAAAATTTTGTTCCCGGCTGTGCAAGTTTGTTTTTGTTGACCCGCCCACATTCCTGCTTGTTGCTGTGAGTTGTTCTGGAAATCTGTTTTTAAAATGATGGAAGTTTTCTGTGATCATCACAGATCCTACTCGTAGGTAGTACTCTTAAGTGCAAAATCTCCTATCATGGTTGCTGCTAAAGAGAAAAGATGGCTTGTGACCCTTTATGCCTTAAACTGCATCTTGGGTCCAGATTTAAAGTATGTGGTGGAAGAAGGGATGAAGAGGCTCTATAAATACATAGATGATCATTTGAATAGCTTGGCAAAACCCTGCAAACTGAGCACTTTGACATATGCTGTTGTACACTCAAGCAACGCCGCCTTTCTTAATGGCCTGAGTTTCGGGAACATTCATAACAATTTCCGTCAAAGGGATGAGAGGCAATACAACTACAAAGTCAACAACATAGTTGATCTTGCTAAGGTGTATCTACCACCTGACGTCCCCGCCAAATTCTCTGCATTTGACACAACCATGGATGTGGCTGTCGCACTTAAACTTTTGGGAAACAGTTACCCAGTAACAATTTTCTCCTCTCCCGATCCATTTGTCTCAATTCAATCATTGGCATGTGATGTTAGGAAACATGTGAGAAATGAAGGAGATCATTTTAAGGAAAGAGCTTGGACGGAAATGTTCTTCAACAAATGTTTTGACAAGCTACAAAAACTACTCTCCTTTCTACCTTTGCCTGGCGCCAGAAAAAAGAATACTGAAGATAAACTTTCCAAATGGCAAATCGAAGGTAATAGAAAAATTGTAATTATAACTTCACAATAAGTTATCCTACCAATTAGCAGGATTTTATACCAACGCGAGCAGGCTGCGAAAACGCGTTTGCTACGTGCCCCATCCTCACAGGGTAGTTTGCCATTTTCTCTCGTCAGTTACTGAGTTTAAAATCTCTTCCATTTAATCATTGTCATCATTTATTCTTATTATTTTTAGGTTTTAAGCTGATTGTTGAAGAAGATTTCGAGGAAAAAAGGGATGAGTGGGTAAAGGATGGACTTGCTAAGTTTTATAGGAAACTGAACAAAAACTTGGAGAATTTTTTTTCCGATTTTAATCGAAGTTATCATGACCAGCCACAGGGTAAGTTTTAAGGAAAGAAAATTAGTAGTCAGTTTTAAGAGTATTTTAAGAGCTCGAATTACTATTTATATTGGACTTGAAGTTCGAATGAGTCCTGTCACTACTGTCAAAATTGAATTTTAAAAATCCGAGCTTTTGCTAACCAGCGGAATAACGATGGATCAGTGATGTATCTTTATTCGGCCCATCAGCGAAAGCTCGGAATTTTAATATTCAATTTTAACAGCAGTCACAGGCCATATTCGACGCCAATATGGCTATGTTTAAACTAAATGCTGCTGAAGGACCAAATGCTAAGTTTATCAAGTGATTATGATATATTCACAAAAATCAAAGTGAGGGTTTATGACGTATAGAAGAGTCAAAATGCAATACTTATTATAGGATCAAAAGATTACTGTTAGAGTAAAAGTTACAGCCTGCGATAAATCATGATGAAAAAATGACATGCAAATTGAATCGAGGGTGTCCCTGGGCCAACCGCTTCCCATTACGCACACCTGCTTCGTCTCAACCAAATTTCTTACCGTTTTATATGGTGAGACTTACTTTCCACACTAATCCTGATGAACAGTCTAATTAAATCGGAGCTTTTTGAAAACTCCCTTCCAACAGGATTGGTTTAAAAATGCTGGCATAGCGTTTTATTGAAGATAGAAAGGATTTTGAAAAAGGAGCTTTTCTGCGATGCATTATCATTGCGCAATGTAGTTTTTTAGTCGGACCGCGGTTACATTTTCCACATGACAAAACATGTATCCAACTTCGAAAAGATCCCCACCGTCGTGGTGCTAACACCGAACGCTTCAGTGAGTGAGATATTATATGCAATGAAATATTTTTGCTGCGTATTAATCAGGACCTAGAAGATCTTTTCCGAAGAAATTTACTTGCAAGAAATCTGCGATACTATGGCGTCTATATTATAGATAATCTATAACTGCCACGGGCGACTGATACTTTTATTGATAAGGAGAAACAACTCTACCACAATTTTCAACACGGGTTTCGAGGAGGCAAACAAACAAACCGAAACGACACGGTTAAAACTGCAGATAAAACGGCGAAAGAAAACCTATTACAATAGAAACTGAGCTAAGTACACTAGGAAAGCTACAACGAAAACAACGATGAAAACTACATAATACAAAATATACATTTAATTTGTTGTGATATTGTTGAATCCCTGCCTAGCGGCGAAATAGCTGTATGAAGCGAATGACAAAATAGTCGAACTTACTGGACAACGCGGACAAATAGTGGACAACTACTGGACAAATACTGGAAAAAACTGCACAAACAACGATGAACAATACGGTCAAATACATGCCACGTTTCGTAACGTTACGAAGTGACACAAAGAAAGCGCACCCAAAATTTTACTACAATTTGCAGTATTTGAACAAGAACAATAAACAAAGAATAAGGCGTTAGTGATCTGCATAATCCAATGAAGGCTCCAACTCGATTTGATCAGTCTCTCTTTCCGACCACTAGTCTAGGAACAAATATCGAAATGAACTTTTGGGAACACGGTGGTCAAGCTTCTGTAAAATTTCCGAAAGTTGAGGGAGCTCGGCATCCTGCGGGAAGGTAGTCAAAGACTCTGTCAAAGTCAACTTGTTTGAAATAAGTTAAAACAACCACACAAGGTAGTAAGCCACTTTTGTTTTAAAATCGCATACATCCATGGTTCAAGGATCTCAAACTAAGATGGTGAATTAGCAAATGAGTTCGCTTTCGAAAAGTTTTATATATTCCTTCTGAATACTTTCTTTCCTTTTTACAGGTCTCTATGAGCATTAAGTTCATTTTTCCTAAACTTATCGTCCAACTTTTTGTTCCTCAAAGTTTCTATTTTATATTTGCATGGGAAATCAGCGCTGGAGGCCAAATTTGATTCATTACGTTCGCTCGGCGTCTGCGTACAGTTTATCCTGATTATGACTGTATACTTACTGTAGGTCCTAATAATACGCATGCCCGTGGATGCACTCAAGTGTTTCTGCCGCCTGTGGTTGTTGCTTTTCTAAGTCAATCCCACTGAGAGTGGACTGGGTCTGAGTTACTGCTCTTATCATACATTTCCGATGCAAATCTATTTAAACAATATTTGCGGGTCGTATAAGGGAAGTAAGCCGGGTTCTTGAGGTTTTGGGTTACGTTAGCCCATCTATCGAAATAAGACGGCAACAACGAGGACCGTCTAATTGGCAGCGTATCTTTTCCTTTGCTCTAGGCATTTTAACAAAAATGCCATCAGCGATTTGCCTGTCTTCACTTGAAGTATGAGCACACCCCCATGAATGGACCCGGATTAAGCATATTAGGATTAACATTTTTTTTATCCCCAGTGCAAAATGAGGCCGACAATGAAACCAGTGTCCAAAGATCCAGAGATTCATCATCAAACGCTCTTTTGACGGAAACTTGTGAAACCAGTGATGAGGTAGACTTCAAATTATGGATACTCATTAAGCGAATAAGGTAGAGCGGAGTAAAGTGGAGTACATCTACCAAACATCTGATAAATTAATCCTGTGCAACACAGACGTAATTATTATTATTTTTTTAACATTATTTCTTCAGCGTCCAGTTCTTAGATTCCGGCCAGCGAAATTATCTATGCAAATCATAGGCTAAGAACGAATTTCATGCGCTCATGGCTTCTTATTAACTGCAACTGAAGATGCTTACGCACGGTGGAGATGTAACAAGTGCATCCACACGAATACATACTAGCGACATCTATTTTACTGAAGAAAATTATTTTTCTTCAATTTTGTCTGTTCGCCTTCCGGAACAGATAAAGTCCGCGAACAAATGTGCGAAGTAGCATATTTTCGGACGCAATAGAAGCTATTATCTATGGTAACCGTGATGGCGGGTCTCCCTAAAGTTAACTAGCTTTGTAGCTAGGTGGACCGATCGTAATCACAAATCATTATGTCATGTTTTGGAAAACGGCACTACAACTGTAAGTAGAAACGGCAGCCTTCGTTTCCTTACTAGCTGTTCTTTGTGATGTCACACAACGTCCCTTTAAACTAAAATGGCTTGACATTTCGAAGAGTAGCTGAGAGGGAGACAACGGGATTCTGGGCAAGGTGACGTCGACAGTTAATGCATGGTAGGCCGAAAGATAATGAGAAAAGTACTGAAAGAAGATTTTTCTTAAATACTGCCAATGTAGATCACATCCCCTCAAGTGTGGAGGAAGCATGGAAGCACAAAAGTAAGCCACAAATTTGTTTTTCATTATAGGGAAGAGGAGTTACACGTAACGTGTCTGAATGCTCCGTCAGAGAAGAACTGGAAAATCCCGGTGCAGCTGTGGGAGGTAAATATGAGGCTTATTGAGAGCCTTTGACCGCTAATATCGAGAGTCCGTGGACAGATGCAAAATTTTGCAATACGTTTTATTTATTCCAGAAGGACCATCTTAATGAACCCTTTTCAAAAATCATATCAAAAAGTTCTATTGCGCATTGCTTTCTCCGGAAAATCGAAAAGTTCGAAATACGCCTAGAT